ACACACACACACACACACACACACACACACACACGCACACGCACGCACACGCACGCACGCACACACACGCACGTTATTATTTCTATCCTTGTAAGGACATTGCGTTGACTTCTCTTTCCAATCAGATGGGACTCGCCCTCCTCAGCCTCCTTTATTAAAGTCTAATAAATGTCTGGGTTTATTGTACTCTATATAAAACATAATTAAACTCTGGTCTAAAGTACTGTAGTGATGGACGCTGCTGTTCCAACTGCACCATATCCTTGTTTACACACCGAGTATGTAAGTACACACTTGGGTACTTTGTACTGAGAAACAAACGTAATCAGGTAACCAGTTACCCTCAGTCATTTGTGAGCATTTATCACCCCCTGCTGGCCACACTGCTGGATCAGTCTGAGCTGAAAAGTGACTCTTGGGTCTGAAGTTAAACAGTCGGTGAACAAAAACTAAACTGCTGTGATAGTGTGAGAATGTAACAAACCTCCTGCACACAGTGCATCTGCAGCTGAGGGTCCAGTCTGTAGTCCAGCGCTGACTCCTGCAAGATGACCCGGATCTGATCCTCACAGTCAGAAGACAAGCGCTGTAACACACACACACACACACACACACACACACACACACACACACACACACACACACACACACACACACGCTTCTTTTTAACATGATCAGTTTCTTTTAGAACATATGAAATAGGCAGATTGACTTAATTTATTTGTATGAGTTTTGTTTATTTATTTATTTATTTTTAAGACTGGACAGTCATTTCTTCGCATAAACTAAATCTTTTGCAGTTTTTTTGTTTTAAGCATTAAATTGTTAGCTAATATCTTATATTTCTTTCATTGTTTTTGCTGCTTCATAATTGAAACGTTAAACTGAGATGATTTTTCTGAGGAAACAGGATGTTATTAATACAACAGAAATAAATGCCTATTATAATATCTGAAGTGGACTCTGACCTGGTCTGCGTATTTGAGCTTGAGGCAGGCGATGACCTGTCCCTCCAGCTCGGTGTCAGCTGTCGCCTTGTTCAGGATGGACTGGCAGAACTTTGGGATGTCGGCTTTACACGCCTTCCTCAGCACCGGGTTCAGCCTGTAGTCTGGACACGCACACAGTCGTATAACGTCTGGTGTTAGAGTTCAGCTCCAACGCTGGACTCGTCTGAGTGTACCTGTGTTCTGGGTGATCTGTCTCTTGGTGATCATCTGTTTGCACTTTGGATCCATCACCTCGCTGTTCTTGTTCTGCTTCAGACACTGGAGAACGTTCTTCCCCTCCGACTCTGTGCAGAACCGCTAAACACACAGAGCAGCCGTTACACTCAGAACCCCTGAAGAACTGAACATCATCTAATGAGCCATGAAACAAAAACATCTAACAGGAAGAAACAACTGCCACTAATTGGACAAAGACAGAAGGAAATAATTTAATCTTAGTTGTCTAGTTTTTCCCTCTAAGTCCAAGTTTGAAATTGTCGTTGGGTCAGATAAAAGGTTTCTGACAGAGGTTTAACTGATTTAAGACATGTTGTGGGTTCAATGACTCTACCCTGATCATGTTCTTGCAGACTCTGATCAGCTGATAATCCAGTTCAGGATCCACCATCTCCAACTCCTGCAGCTTGAAGATCCTCTGATGGCAGCGTTGAGTCAGATGCACCTTTTTCTCCTTCAGACACTCGATAACCTGCAGGAGCACGCACACACACACACACCAACACACACAGAGCATGAAACTGCTGCTTCAAACAAAACAACAAGCACAACAAACACACTGACCGACATCAGCTACCGCCAAAACTGACCAAACAACAACAACAACAACAACAACAACAACAACAACAACAACAACAACAACAACAACAACACAGACCTGCAACAACATTAACCTACTGAACAACAAATAGTCGTATGTCTGGTTTACACACAAAAATAATTATGCAAACCTTTGTACTGAATTAGCCCTTTTTACAATCTTAAAGTGAAACCTGTACTGGATTCTTCTAAAACATTATTGAAGTTTCACAAATGCAGGGGGCGTGTCTCTGGGAGGGTCTTTTATACCAAATCACAGGAGCTGTGATGTAAGCCTGTATCAATCTGTACCGTTTTAACAAATACGAAAATTCAAATGCAGTAGCCACGTTCAACCAATAAAGTGCAGCACTAAAACTGTTTTAGAACAAATTTTGCAGAATTAAAAACATTTACAAAAAAATGTCAAAATTTACACAGAAATATAAAGATAAAGCCCAATTTAGTCAGTTTCTCTGGGGAACAAAAAGTTGACTTTGGGTTTGGTTACTCTTTAAGGATGACCTGATTCTTTTGTCAAATAAGCAAAAGAGGATGCAGTTAAAATTAATAAAAAGGTATTTAAGCTGTTTTGAACATCCAAAACACATCCAACACTTGTTGGCTGCTTGTGCTCTTTAGGTCAGACGTGTGTCGGGAAGCTCCTCTGTTGTTTGAGACGCTGGGGGAACCGTCTGATGGGGGAACGTGGCTCGACCTAACACCGGTCTCTGTTTAATGGTGGATGAAATAAAGAAAGTGGTGGTACTTTATTTACTTTGAGCAAGCGAACGTCGTGTTCACAAGATAATTAATCCACCAGATAATTCAGAGGCGGTCTGTTCGGTAAATTTTACTCCAGGAGCTGCGAGGCTTGTTTTCAAGCTTCAGACTGAACTGAAGCAGCAGCTGCTGACGTCATTACGCTCTTGCGCGATGCTGCGTTCAGGACAAGCATGAAAAACTCACCACTCTTATGCCAATACGGTTGCAATGATGCTTTTAGGTACCAAAATGGAATTGCATGAATATTCACGTGGTGGTTATGCAATGCAGCGAATCGATAATAAAAAATCTGCGTCGACAAATTTACATAATCGACGTCATCGATTATTTCAACTAATTGGTGCATCCCTATAACCATCCACTACTTGGAAGAGAGAAGTACTGAACTGAATAAGATGGCTGTAAATGAGTGCTGCAGGCTTTGTGAGACAAACTTAATTTTAGGAAAATCGCTGTCGTTCACAACTCCTCTTTCTGTTCGCTGATTGGCCTGATTGAAATTCTACCGGAGAAATCCTTGTCTATGGGAGAAAACCCAGACAGAGCAGAGAAGGGAAACTGGAATTAAGCGGAACTGCATATGAAGGCAAGGGTCAGACTAAGTATTAGCAGGCCAGGTCAAAATGTATCACTTAAATGTTATTGTTTTTTTTTTTTTTGTTTTTTTTGCATGATCAGAATGTTGTGCATTGATACTGGAGAATGCGTCTCTATAAACGAGTGCATACAGCCTTCAAACAAAGAACATTTGGAAAAAGTAGAAGCATACAAATCAAAATGGAGCCCCAGATGTGTGTGAGCATTTCACTAAAGGCAGAACAGACATTAATAAAATATTTTATCACTAGGTTAACTTCTGATGGCAGAAATGTATGTTAGTTTACTTCAGTTTATGTTTGTTTGACAAAAATGAAAACATTATAAAGAAACTGCAGCATTTCCAACAAATGTAAGATCAGAAGTGACTTTTGTTTGATTCTAATTCTAAGACCAAATGTTTCCACGCCCCCCTCAGAGCTGAAGAGTGTGTGGAGCTGCTGACCTGTGCGTTACCGAAGGCCACAGTCGAACACAGCTTGTTGATGTCCTGCTTACAAGAGTCATAGAGTTCTGGTTCCAGACGGATGTCCTCTGACTGCTCGCGTTCAACACAAACAGGACAAACAGGAAGTGATGAAACAATACTGTGCAGGATCAAAGCCACTAAACATCACCTCTGATTCTAGTACTGAGAGATTTACTTTCAACACCTGAACAAACTGTTCTGTTCTGTGATTTAAGTCCTTTTAAAGAACAAAACATTAGCTGCTCGTTGCTACAAACTATTTCCTGGGTACAGTTTTAAAACAAGAAGTTTATTATGCTCAATATTAGTGAGTAAGTTCTGTCCTTGTACAGGTTTACACTCAGTGGTCTGTGTGACACAGTACACTGCTGTCCTACTCTATGGAAGGGTCAGTGAACGCACCATCTCCACCTCCTCCACTCTCAGCTGTTTACGACATTTGATGGACACACGCTGCTCCTTGGCGTCCTGCAGGGTGTCGTTTCTCACCGTGGAGCTGAGGCAAATCACAACATCCACCCTGGAACACGGGGAGACAAAAGTCAGGAGGTTAAAAAGGGCTTCAGGTAGGATGTGGAGCTAACAAACAGAACTGCAGCTCCAGGTTTTTTTATTTTTTAATTCAGGGATTTTTAATCAAATCTGAAAACAAACAGGTTTTGTTCCAGCACCTGATGAACTAAACTGGGCAGCTTTTTGTCTTAGAACAAAGAACAAACATCCAGAAACTTTAGACTGATTATAAGAAGGAATTGAATAAAAAATCTGACTACAGTGAAAATAACATGACTTCAGCTCAGAGTCATGGGCCAAGACATTGTGCAGAAATTCTCCAAATTCACAGTATAAAAAAACAACTACTTGCTAACATTATATATTTGCAAATACTGTTACTACTGCTGTTTTATAATCACATACTGTTTAATGGATTGTAATATAATACTTAGTTTTTCTATTTTAATGCAAAGATATAAGGGAGACAGAAACAGCACAACTGAACATGTTGATAGTCACTCTTTAAAATGTCAGCTTTTTCCTGAACTCAGGACTGATTTTAAAACCTGTTTCAGATATTTATTTAGATTATTTTAGTTACAAGTTTATTAAGGGCCAAAGCTGATTTTTTTATTTATCAATAAGTAAATCTATAAATTTAACAGCAGAGAATCTGTTTCCAACAGATTGTAGAGGACATTATGGACATCACTAACCCTGAGCAGCATGTTTAATGAAACTAACACAGATTTATGTGAAGAATGACCTAAAGAGTCTCTTTTAAGAGACAGTTTTATAGTTGGCTCACTGTCAGGGTGTATTTTCACACATGAGATGTGATACACACACGAGGAACAATAAACCAGATTAATTTCTTTATAAATATAAAGTAAATATGCTGCAATTCTGCTTCTCCAGAGCCTGACAAACTGCTGTTAATTAATAAACCAGCTGGTTATTTACCTTGTAGTGAACATATTTCACAAACATTTGTTCCAAAGCAAGAAAACCTCCAAAAACAGAGATCAGTGTTTCCCCTGTTC